TATTATTGTCAGTTGAGAAGTGTAAAAGATTTTAGATTGTTATGTAATCTTATGGTTTCGGATAAAATATTCAGTGAACTTGATTGTGAATTAAAGACCCATATAGCAGTTAAACAGGGAGACATGGTTCGAACCCCAAACTTTAGGTTGTGAATGCGATATTTATTTGTTATCAAAAGGTAACCAGAATCCCTTTTTGCAAAATCATTTACAGGTACAGATACACCAAGTGCTTACGGAACTGTTGTTTATTTTAGATATTGTGAGAATAATGGGAATTACCGAGTATCCTTTATAACGTCGAAGTCACTGTTAAAAGTCACTGTCGAAGTCACTGTTAGTACAGTGTCACTGTTAAAGAAACTCTGCCACGGTTAGAGCAAATGGCCATGTAATAGATGCTAGAGTGCTAAATTACCTTAAGAGTGTTTTCAAGGATAAAATTGTAAGAACAGTGTTTTGGAATGATTCTTAAATTGCCTTGCACTGGGTGAAGGAAAGTGCAAAGAGATGGAAACAGTTTGTTGCCAACCGGGTTGTGGAAATTTAGGAAAGATCCGAGTCCAAGTGATTGGTACCATTGTCCATCTCACAATAATCCCATAGATTTGCTTACTAGAGGAATCACGGCTGAGAAGTTGGTATTTAATGAAAAATGGTGGTCAGGTCCAATTTGGCTTCAAAAACGTTTTGAGAGTTGGCCTAAACAGTGGGTTAGAGGGTTACCAAATGTAGACAGTGCGGAAATACAAAGAAAGCAAAGAAAAAATTCTGTCAAATGTTTTGTGGTTCAGTTAGAATTAGTTGAGCAGCTTTGGAACAAATTTCAGCTTGGAGCAAGTTGCAGAGAGTTGTCACTTGGTGTTTAAGGTTTATAAGAAATGTGAGGGGAAATAGGATTTTGACTCCCTTCTTAGAAACAAGTGAACCAAAAGAAGCGCATGATATTATAATCAACCTAGTCCAAAGAACTGAGAATAGAAAGGAAATAGCTACTTTACAGAAAGCGAGAGTGTTAAAGAAAAGTTCTTTAATTTCTCTAAATCCGTTCTTAGAAAACAGTGGCGTACTACGCGTAGGAGAATGTTTAAGAAATGCCAGCTTAGCAGAATCTGTGAAACATCAAATAATATTGCGTAAGAATCATCCTGTTACAAAATTATTAGTGACATTTTATCATCTTAATTATATGCACGGAGGAGTGCAATTAGTTAACTTTGCGATGAAACAAAAGTATTGGATTATAGGAGTAAAAACTGCAATATGCAGAGAAATAAGAAAGTGTGCTATCTGTGCCAGATTTTGCTCCGAGTTTTCTAAACAAATGATGGCTGATTTACCTTCTGCGAGAGTGAATCCTGGAAGACCATTTCTTAAATGCGGAACTAACTTTTCAGGACCATTCTTGATCAGCCCTAGATGTGGTAGAGGAGTTAAACCACTGAAAATGTACGTGTGTGTGTGTCTTTGTATGCTTTGCAATGAAAGCTGTCCGTTTAGAACTTGTTAGTGATCTTAGTGCTCAGGCACGTATTGCAGCTCTGGAACAATTCATTGGACGATGAGGAAAGCCAGCTGAAATATTCAGTGATTGTGGAACGAATTTTATCAGTGCAAAGAATTACTTAAAAATGTGTACAATAGAGGCACTTGGTACTTACTTGACCAATGAAGGTGTTAAATGGACAATGAATGTTACATCAGCCCCTCATTTTGGAGGCCTAAGGGAGGCTGCCATTAGATCGATGAAGTTTCACATGAGACGTGTTATAGGATCGCAGATCCTCTCACAAGAATTTTCAACGCGCTTAGTGGAGATTTAAGCCATACTTAACTCCCGTCCTTTAGTGGCAGCTTCTGAGGACCCAAATGATTTTGTGTCATTATACCGCGTCACTTTATTATCAGTTCCGAGTTAAAAAGTGTTCCTGAGCCTGATGTTACAAATGAGAAAATTCCCATCCATGAACGGTGGAAATTAGTCACACAGATTTCCCAATCGTTTCGGAAATCCTGGTCGAAGGACTACTTGACTCAGTTGCAAGTGCGCAACAAGTGGAACTTCCCAGTGACGATTTACGTGTGAATGACTTGGTGCTAATCAAGGATGAGAACTTGCCGCCACTTAAGTGGAAGATGGCGAAAGTATTTTTCAATTATAAGGAAACTGACCAAAGAGTAAGGTCAGTCAATTTAAAAACTGTGTTGGGTGAAATGAAAAAACCAATACATAAAATGGTCACACTTCCTATAAATGACTGATTGATTTATTTCTTTCATGTTTTATAACTATATTTAGTTTGTTTAATTTTTATGTATTGCATTTATATATCAGTTTATATTTCTACTTTAGCTGATGACGGGGTCATGTGGTCCCAGTGTGTTATGCCATCCATTGCCATAAGAGGGCGCTGTATAATGCCAGTTTTTTCTGTATTATAGTTTATGTATAGTGAGTAGAAATAAATGTCTTGTCCTGAATGGCGGCACTGATTTTTAAATGAGTGTGGGGGTCCAATTTTCCACCCCCTCCACAAAAGAGGTGAAAATTCTTAAAAATATTTAATCTGAGAAACACACTTGTCAGTCATACAGTTGTAGTTATACAAATGTTATAAAATTAAAATAAAAAAGAAAATAAACACTCCTTAGAAAATGTACTGCAAGTTTAAAAATTAGGATCTAACTTTAACATTTGTAACCAAAGGGTATAAATTAATTTCATAGAATTACCTGATAGGTTTATCAATTAAACTAACATGAATTTAAATATAGCTTTAATTTATAATGGGAGTTTTAAAGCCTATACTTCTAAAACTAATAAAAATTTTATCAGTGCTACTAAGAATTCACTTTTAGTTTTATATCCCAGAATCTTATTCTCAATGATATTGCTTTACACTGTAGTTCAAGAACTGCAGTGTAAAGAGGCTCCAAATATATTTCATTAAAACTATAAAATTTTTCAATTCTTTGATTAAATACCATTTTTTTAATGATGAACCATATATAGTTTTAACCAAATAATGTTTAAAATAGCTTTTGAGAAATTTCACAAAGATACTTTTCATTCCCCAAAATATATAAATAAATAAAATACATAAATTTTCATAATTGAAACATTATAGCTAAACACTTAACCAAAAAGCAGAACAATTTGTTTTCAACCTAATAAAATGAAAAATAAACAAATTAAGTAGTGATAAATAACAGAAATAGATAAATTTTTAAACATAAAATAAGCAGACTCAAACACAGCCTTTATTACAACTGCAGTCATAAATATGTTTTATATTGATAAACATCATGTATCCTTTTATTTATGTAAGCTTTTATCCAAGCACACTTGCATCTGTAACAGTATTTGTTGCATGAGCACTTTAAAATTGGGTTTTTAAAGGGCTTTTGTCACATGCATATGTATCCAATGGGCTTTTCTCCGGTCATCAAATTGTACCTTAGTTATCATTACACACTTTCTAGGAAATTATTTAATTAATCTTTACTGAAACTCAATGTTATCTGAACATGGGTACTTGTGAACTCCGTTTTAAGTTCTGAACGCTAACTCGTACATAATTTCACATAATTCAGAAAATTAATATGATACACACACAAGCACATGTATTTTCAAACCATTTCATTCACGAACCACAGTTTAATTTTCAAGATTTATTAAAAATTTATGTTTCATTAGATCATTTTGAAAAATTAATTACCTTCTTGGTTTCCAAACATTTACAAAAATAGGTCCTAATTTCAGTCTGTTTTTTAATTGGAGCGATTAAGTTTCGAAAATTACTACATTTATATTTTTCTTCTCTAACAACTGAAAATTTACTACGATCAGGAAATTGTTTTTATGTAGTTAATAACTTTTAACTTAATAACTCAGGTATAAGATTTGAAACTGTATTATACATAATATTAAAAGGCATTAGAGATGGGGAGCTGAGGACAAGAAGAATGTTTATGAAAAGTAAAGAATTTTATTAAACTATTCCTAAAATTTTTGCCTTATAGGGTTTTGATAAGGATCTTCTTACCAACACACTTCACACATATACTTCTGTTCTACAAGAAGAAACAAAATTTTATCCTTCACAGCATCTAGGCTATCAATATTCAAGGATGTTTCCCATTCTGTCACAATATCATGCCATATGCACTTTTAATAGTGGGTCCACAGAAACAAGTTAAAACAGATTTTGTCGTTAACTAGACATTTCTCTTTTCCACCATCTTTTAGCCTGGATTTCCTCAACCCAAAAGTTTATAATACCACACTGTTTCTCTGTAGGATATGCGACTATTCCTGATTTCTTGGTATAGAAGAAATTTCCATCTTCTGAAATGACATCTGGGAAATAATCTGCTAATTTCATCAAAGTGATGACAGCTGTTTCAGCCTGTAGAACTGGATCCATGCCATTTAGTTTGATGGAAACAGAATGCTTCTTTCAAATTACATTCAAACTCATCTCCTTATGAACTAAGCTTTCCAGAATTCCTAATAATTTTCGCTCCATCAATAAAAATTACGCTATGTAAAGGTGATTCTGGTAATCATGAACATTACTCTTCTAAATGTGCTCATATTCTAATGCTTGCTGCAGATCCATGCGACATAGGACAATATGAATAGACTTTCACAAGATTGCTCAGAAAATAGATTTGATTTATTGCTTGAAGTTATATAATCTACACATTTTAAATTATGTAATTGCTGTATAAAACAAAATTTGAGAGATAATGAATCTACATTTCAGAAATCTAGAAATTCTGGATTTGAAAACACAAAAATTTTTGGTTATACCAGACCACAACTGTCTAAAACATGATTTCTTTGACATTAAAGACACTTTTTTATATTTTAAAGGAAAGCATTTTGAGACAAATTTCTGGCAAATATGGAAAAAAAAACCAAGAAGCATCATTCAAATTAGTTTGAGAAGAAGTAGCAATCTTCTCTCTGATAGCAAGTCGCATTTAATGCTTACTTTCAAAGCCATGGTCCTGATTGTAATTTGTGACAAATCTACTGTATAGCATTCCTTTGTTCAACAGCACTGTCTAGCAACATCTCAAGAACACCTAAAGCAGGAAAAGTAATTTATCACTAAACTGAAATCTGTAACCTATTTTGTTGTATGGTGCATTACTGGACAAATATGATGCATCTGCCAACATTGTTAAGATGCAGTTTTTAAACCTTACTGTGTTGAAATACATTTTGTCCCGCCATAAGTTCACTGACCACAGAAATGCATATGTGATATTTAACCATTTTCATATTTTTAGAATGTATCATTGTATAGTTTGAGATGAATGTGCTGAAACTTGTACTAAGTGGGGCACGAGCTACAATCGACTGGTTTGCCTAATGATGTGATTTATTAGATGAACAAGGTTATTCCATTGTACATTTTCACCAAACAGTAAACAGAGGCTCTAAATATCATAAATCAAACAATATTAAGTAACATTGATAGAAAAAGTGCAAAATGTTAAATTTCATAATATCAAAAGGAGGCAATTGCCTCGATTTGAAGCATTTTTGAAAAACGTGTCTTTAAAAGAAGGCATTTGCATATATTAATAGTCTGTCCAGTTACTCCAATTATGACCTAAACATCATTAATAGTGAAAAAAATCAGTTCAGAAATTTAATTCATTCCTGAAGCTCATTTGTTAACCGAAACAATTTTCCTCACAGTAGATTCCTTCTTGGATTCATATGTCAGATTAATTCCTTCTTGAATGATTGTATCTTTAAAATTAACAACAGTACCTTATGCACAGGTTCACAAGCCAAAACCAATGGAAATCCTTAAATATAAAGCAAAAAGATTAATACAATGTGAAAAAGATAAAGGGACAGAACCTTAATTTTGCTGTACTTGTATGAAAAATAGTGGACAGTATAAATGGAAAATAAAGATGCTATATATATCATCTGAATGCAAAATCGCCTTTCATAAAAACATTAATTAATTGTCTTCGGGGTGCACATCTTCCCTCTGCTTGAGACTCATTGATCTCTTCTCCACTCAAAATTCGTCATACTTTGTTGTTGCCTATGTTTAAAAGTGTTTTTAAAGTGAGAGATGCCCCTGCCATTGGAAATGTTTATGCCTAGCTTGCTACTGCTTTATCGAGGTGATACTGTTACATAAAAATTTTGCATTTTACTCCATTATGTACAAATTTGTAGATAAAAAAATTATGATAATTTTTCTTTCTTCCTTTTCTTCTGACGATATTTTTTCCCCCAAGTTCACATACTGTGGCTGCTTCCAAAGTTGTGGTTCTTTCTTGTTTAGCTCATTTTTATGGTCCTATAATAAGTTCTCCACACCTTGACTGTTAATGAACTTCCTAGCCTATGGTTCTGACTAGAGATACCATAGGTTCAAAAAAAAAATGTCCTAAGTGCTAAAAGTCTGTGTCTCTGCCTGCAATCTTGGTCTAAATTTTCGCCTGGCAGGAAGTTGTGGTCCTGTAAATCATTTAAGCCATAAAAAAGTATTGTTTTCAGAGCTATTTTGTTATTCTGCTATTGTACACCTTGCACACCCGTTCTACTAGATTGATTGTCGAAATTTAACTTGCGTTTTCCATGTCCTGAAAGCGTGATTTAGGATATATATTCGATTCACATACAGCATTAGTCTAACATAGGTTATTTTGACATAAAATAGGACTTTCTGAAATGTCATACCGATTTTTTTCAGTATTTATATTCTACAACTCAAATTATGCCTAGATATTAAATTTTATAGTTTTTGGTTCGAAATTTATTGGAGAAATTAGAATATATATTTTGGCACATTTTTTTTAGTTTGGACAAAGAATAATTCACTTGGTGAACCTCTTACTTTATAGCAACCTATTTTTCTTTCCTTTTTTTATTGTACACGAGCAGAAAAATGGTCATTATTCATACTTTCAAATAATTTTAACAAAGTGAGTAAACCACAATTGGCATTATTATCGCTTATAACAAATATGCCAAATTTTAAAATGCACCAATATGTAAATTCACATATATCTTAGGAAATTTTGAAATAAAAACTCTAATTTTTTGCAGGTATGCTTAGAAATACATCTTCTTTAAAATGATGGTAAAAACTTTATATGTTATGATTCAAAAATTTTTCAAAAAATTTATAAAAATTATTTTAAAATACAAATTAAAAAATAAATCACAAAACTGGGCAAGTTTTATTTGGAATGAACCTAAATTTCAAAATGTGAAAGGAAGAATCAAATAAATTTAATACGAAAAAGAAATATTTATAAATATATACTAAGCTCAATTAATAGGGAGAAGATAAATTGTGAGATCTAATTTTTTAAAAAAACTACTCGTGCAATTGTTACAAAACATAGCACTTTTGCATAATTTGAGTCATAGAATCAAAATATGGAAAACAAATTGGTACTTCAGAGAATGTACGATTTTGTGACAAAATACCTATATTAGAACAATGTTATATATAATTCTAATATATATATCTTAAGTCGTGCTTTTGAGACATGGAAAATGCAAGTTAAATTTTGACAATCGGTTTAGTAGAACGGGAGGTATAGAACTATCTTGGGGGGGGGATGGTGTACATTTAAGCAGTTTTCTGAAACAAAAACTGTAATTACAACATCACATCCAACAGTAACTTTTTTTCACATACATGGACTTTAACATAAGATAAGAGGAAATGGGAGTGATATTACAAGAACTCTGGCAAAAGAACACAAAAATATTATATTTTCACACATTCTAAGGAATATTAAAATAGAAGTGGAAGAATAACAAAAAGAATATGTCCATACAGGATATGACTGAAGATGAAAGCTACACCCAGTTTAAAACACAGTCACTGAGAACATGATTATTACAATAAAAAATCAATCTTTTAGCTTTATATTTTACAATTTAGGCTCAAAAGACTTACCTCACTTGCCTGACAAGCTCATAAAATGCAGTTTCAACATTTCGTCCAAGCATAGCACTACATTCAACGTAAGGAATTTTTAGCTGCTGGGCTCTTTGGTGAATTTCATTTGGAGGAACCTTAAAAGCATGTACAGAATGATTATTACAATTATTAAACTTCTTCAAGAACAATCAAAGCCATTTCCAAATATTTCATTTAAAAAAAAAAGGAGAGGGAAAGCCAATTCATTTCCATTACAGTGAAATTCAGATGATAATACAAACATTATACAATTAACAAGTAAAAACATAACCTGGAAACTCATACTGCATACGCTTTTTTAAAAAAATTTGCACATATTTATTGAAACCATGTTTAAATAATAAAATGAATGCCTCGTTGCTATGACTCATACATAAAAGAAAAAAAGTATTACATAATATTCTGGAATTTTAGTGAAAGCAGCTAAAAATGCACAACAGATAAAACTTTTTTACATGAAATCTGAAGCAAAATAATAACTAGTAAGCAGAATTAAGAAAAAACAGGCTGATTATCAGCCTGGTTTTGTTCATATGTGTGTTTTATATAACATATGTGTTGCTAACACATAATATATATATGCATGAATTACAGCACTAAAGCATCATGTAATGGAATTGGAAAAAAAAAAAAAAAAAAAAAAGCCAAATGAATGGGAAAAAAAATTATTCAAAGCCTGCTAAATATCAAAAGCCTATATTTAATAACGTGTAAGATTTTGGGGATAAAAATGCATTACAGAAATGAAAGAAGATGCATTTTTTTAAAAAAATTTTGATAAATAATGAATTTAAGCATTTTTTTATTTTATAACTTTGTAACACAAATGCCCCTACATGTTGGCTTTTTGTAATCACGGAGTTTATGCAGTGAAACCTATTATACAGATCTCACGAACTGCGAATCTAAAAGAAAACTTACCATACGTTAAAAATTCATACTTCCAATACCATTGTTGAGTAGTCCTTTATTGTGTGATACAATTTAAAACACAGTGTCAGACAAAGTCCTACATCACAATCAGGACAGAAATACCGTGTTTCCTTTCGGATTCTCTTTCCACTTTCATTCCTCCTGGAACAGCATACAACGCATTGTCTGGCAGGTCTAAGTTTTTTCTCTGTTGGAGCAATAACTTCTATGAAGTGTCTCTCGGTCAGTCTCAAAGGATTAGGCTCAGAACCAGGTCGTCCATATTTGCAAGTCATCCCAGAATGGTATTTCTCGATAATTCTGTCAACAAGATCAAGTCTGAACTGTAACTGAGTTTTCTTTCCACCTTTTTTACAATATACGACATATGAGTTCCATACGGCAATATCAAAAATGTGGAAAAAAATTTTTCTATATTTTTTTCCTCTCTTTCTAATGACTTCAAAATTTTTCAAATTTTGGTCCATGCGGTCTACTCCTCCCATTGTGTTATTGTAATCCATAACAATTTTTGGTTTCTGTTTCGTTTCAGAGCGGACCTGTATTTCTACCTTTGCAGTATTATGAATAGTAGACAGTAATGAAACATTCTTTTTTGTCCATCCACTTCATAACAGTAACTTTTCCTCTCTGAAATGCAATGATTTCTCCTCCTTTTTTTAGTTTTTTTTTCTTTTGCATTTCCTTTGGGACTTCTTTTCTCTTTTAGATTCAGGGTGCCATATGTATCCGTTCGACACGAAATTAATTTATCAGCTAATTCTGGCGACGAATAATAGTTATCCGTCGTAAGACAATATCCTTTATGCAGTAACGGATGCATCATTGTCATAACAACTTGTGACAAAATACATAGATTTGAAAACTCTGGTTTCAGAATCGTGTTTTTGCCTGTGTATATTATTACAGAGCATACATAACCAGAAATCGATTCGCACAGCATGAAGCATTTTATTCCAAATCTTGCTCTTTTTAGGGGAATATACTGCTTCCACCCTAATCTTCCTTTGAAAAGCATAAGGCTTTCATCTATAGTTACATCACGTTGTGGTGTCACCGTCGAGCAAAACTTCTCATTCAGATGTTTCAAAACTGGCCACAATTCCACTAATTTTGGGCATTCGTGACTTTGTGCATCAAATGCTGAATTATCCGAAAAATGTAAGTATCATTGCAAAAGGTGAAATCGACGGTGAGTCATTATTTGGGGAAAAAAAGGCGTGTATGTGGAATGTCTCTTACTCCAGTACTGATCAACTGCAGGCTTCCTTATAATTCCTTGCAGTATAACCAGAGCAAAAAATATATGCATCTCTTCCTGAGTTGTTTGTTCCCAAAATTTACTTCTTGAGAATTTTTTTGCAGTGCTTGACTGGATGCACTGTGTCGCATATCTGTTTGTTTCTTCTTCCACAATTTTATTCATCAAAGAAGAATCAATAAATGCTTCATAAAATTGTAGTTCATCAGAAGTATCATCAATTTGTATATTTACTGCTGGAACACCAGTAAAATTGAAACCTGGGACACACGGAAGAGGCGGGTTTTTCTACATCAATTTCAATAAAATTTCTAGCAGAAGTCAAGTCTTCATCGAAGCTGTTCTCACTACACGTGTCATCTAAAGAATTATCCAGAACATTACAAGACAGTTCTGAATTTGTATCCGAATCATCAGAAGCATCTAACAATAGAGTATCATCATCATCTATTATATCATCCATAACTAAAGAGCTTTGAATTCACAACCAAAAAACCGTGTAGCAAAACTTTCAAGAACCAAGAATGCAAAATATTTTCGACTTCCGGTAACAAAAGAAAAAACTGGTTAGAATGATTTTAAATAGTATGGACAAGCTACGCCATCTATTGAAATCTTCTAATACTAAAGCCTCTCTTTCAATATATTAAAAATACGGGCAAATCAAAATAAGAAAGGGGGAAATATCGATGCATGTACACCCTACGGGCAAACCAGATATGCCCAATGATCAGTAGCCCGTACACTGTACGGGCAAACCAGTTAATGGGTTAATGCCTGCAGAAGAAAGTGCAAAACAGTAACATGTCCATTGACAGCTGATATTTTGCTTCATTTAATGAAGTGATGCTATCAGATTTTTTATTTATTATCCTACTGATGAATGAAATTTAAATTAATGTACTGATGTTAATTTAATGTACTAATTTTAATGTACTGATGTAAAAAATTGATGGTTGGTTTGGTTTATCTGATTATAGAAAAGCACTCAAGGGCCATCTGCCTAAACGAATGGATGCCTTTGTGGAGGACCTTTTAAGGAAAAGTGGTACACATACACATCACACATGGGGAAACCCACAAAAATGCCCATGCAGCCAGGACATTTCAGGATTCAGACCTCAGAGACTTTACCGCTTGGCCACTAGTAGGAGATGGAAATTTAATTTAAAATTATGTGCTGATATACAGGTAATTTTGATTCAAGTACTTTATAAAGCTATGATTCTGTATACCATTTTCTTCTTTTCACACACCAAAATGATTTACCTTCTTATCCCCAAGGACAATATTTTTATTTAGTTACAACAAATGCTAACCTCTTTTAAATACTGAATTTTTTAAACAAAATAAAGGAGAAGGGAAACTCATCTACACACTGAAAGAACCAAGAATCATATAAAAGAATATATTTTCTCTTGAATACAATATCAAAACAGTTACAAAAAAAAATATCAATGTTCAAATTTATGGCTGCTAATACAAAATTTTGTATTAATAATAAAAGTTATGTAAACAATAACTAAGATTTTTAATTCAATCCTTTATACACTTGGACTTGCATTACAATTACAATCTTTACATGAATAGTAACTCCAAAAAAGTCTGCTATCGTTTATAACAATATATTGCACAGTACTTGGGGAGGGGAGGGAGAATGAAGTAAAAAATGGCATTAAAAGAATATTTTATATAAAAGATAACTTCTCATTCAAAATATATTTTTAAAACACAGCCACACAAAAACTCATACTTTTAAATATATAGCACTAACAATAAGCAAAATTTTATTTTTTAAAGCCAGATGTGCCACTTGAATTAGAAATTTTATATTGCACTTCAAATGAGGTTACATTAGGTTAACTGATTTAGGCAAAGTGATTCAAGGGCTTTTGTGGATGACTTTTTAAGGAAAATGGCTTGTACATTACAGATGGGGAAAACTCCCATGCAACCAACTTGCTTGATAGGATTCAGACATGGGCCAAACTATCAGCATTCAACAACTTGGTCATGAGGGCACTTCCTTCAAATGAAATGTGAATAATATTTGCAAATACTGAAGCAATGACAAAGACAATGACAGAAGACAAAATTACATGAAATCACATATGTGATTACTAAACAGGTATAATGATCTATAACAGTAATTATTACCATAAATAACTATCTGCAAACTTCTGCATAGTCACAGCATATTTTCCTATAAATTTAAAAAATAATCCTAAGATGATAAATAGCTCATTCTTTTATATCTTCTGGTGAACATATTCTGAGACACAAAGCACAGGAAAAAAAACTATTGTTTAGAGGACTAGTTAAATAAATTAAGGAAAATGAAAATTTAAAAGAAGCAAATCACTCAAGCAAATGAATGTTACGATTCACAGAACCATGGCCAAGTATGAAAAAGAAAATAACATGAAGTAACATAGGATAGGACACAGAAGGATAAAGAATACATGGAATATTATGAAAACTCAAATTCTGACCTACAAGTGTTTTATGATACTTTTTTCAGTTACATGAACAACCAAAAGATGATAATCACATTCTTGCCATATTTACCCTTGTAATCTTTCTTTTGCACCAATAATAATGGGTAATAGTAATACCAATAATAGTGGGAGTTTTTATAACATATATGTTTGTATAAAAATTTAGCGCACAACAAAATAACTTACACATAATCATAAAGAAACAAAATACATGATTTGAGATCTGATCACCAAGAAAGTTAGCTGTTTAAGTTGTCAGATCTACTGACAATAATTCAAGGCAGCAGAAGTACTTAAAAGCACTGCTGGGAAAACATGATGAACATTTTGATGACAATTTGATTTTCTTTCTTGTTCAATACATAACATGTAAATATATAATTAACCGATGGGTATACTAAGC